CTGGAGCTTTTCGCACAACACCAATCGAAAGTATTTATTGTGAAGTTGGTGAACCGTCCTTAGAAGACAGAAGACTTTATTTAAGTGTAGCATATGCCGCAAAAATCAGGTCTAACCCAAAAAACCCTACCATTAACAATTGTTTTACAGAAAAGTTTCCAAATCTCTTCATAAATAAGCCAAGAACTGCCAAACCTTTCTACGCAAGGATTAGAAGCTATTTAAATCAATTAAACTACACGTTCCCAGAATGCTTTTCTTCCCAATTGTCCTCAATTCCTCCATGGCAAATAAAGAATCCTCAGTGCCTAACCCGCCTCATTTCTTTCGACAAACATTCAACAAACCCACAGTTATTCAAATCCGCCTTCAACGATATGCTTCACAACTACAAGGACTATACACATATATACACAGATGCATCTAAATCAAATGAAGGTACTGGTGCTGCAATCATAACCCCAACATCGACAAATAAATATAAACTCCCTTCAGAGTACTCCATTTACTCTGCTGAACTGTATGCTCTATACCAGGCTACCCTTGCTGTCAATGCATCCAATAACACCAATTATATCATACTCACAGACTCTCTAAGTTCAGTCCAGTCAATCCAATATGTCTACCCAACTAATCCTTTAGTCATCAAGATAAAAGAAGAAATCCACACCGCTCAACTGAATGGAAAAAATATTATATTATTTTGGATACCATCCCATATTGGAATTCCAGGAAATGAAGAGGCAGACAACGCTGCAAAAGAAGCTGCAAGTAGTGATAGTGCGGAATGTACTAAGACATTTACGAGTGCGGACGTGAAAGCAACGGTTAAATTTAAAGTGCGATATATGTGGAATGAAAAGTGGAAAGTGTCATCGGCAAAGCTACGCGATGTAAAAAAATCGATTAAACCCTGGCCCACATTACCAACAAGTCGAAGAGACCAGGTAATATTAACGCGACTTCGACTGGGTCATACGCGACTAACGAATAGCTACGTGTTCTCTAACAAACAAGAACCAAGATGTGACAACTGTGATGAAAAAATAACAGTCAAACATATATTGGAAAAATGTCCAGCATTAACGCCAAAGCGCATATTGTACAGTATACCCAACAAACTAAGTGACATTTTAGGTTTACAGTGCAATATTTCAAACATAAAAAGTTTCTTAACCTCACTTAATATTTTAAATGCTATATAAACTAATATTATAAATGTAATAAAAATTATTGTTCGCTAATAGCCAATTTGGCTGATGCGATTTTGCTAATAAAAAAAATATACATGCAAAAATCAATTTAATAATGTAGATATCCAAAAATGTAAATAAAACTTTGTAATACCGAGTGGCACTAATAACCACATGGGTTAATGCACCTTAAAAATATTAATAAAATAAAAAAAATAATACTCTTTTGTACATAAATTACAATTACCAATATTTTATTACTCTATATTTATATTGTTGTTTTTTATTCTTCAGTATATTTTACTTACTGTTCAGTGTTTCGGATCTGGAGCGCAAAACTGAAGCAGTTCGCAGAAGATTTCTGACAATTAAATCATTCTTCTGTAACCACAACTTAAACCTCATAGGATTATTGCCCTAAAGTTGTTTTTAGATGTGGTTGCATAGAAGAATACCCTGTAAAGCAATTTAGAGCAAACCAAACAAGCTGTGTTAAAAAGAACAAATGCCGATTTTGAATCATACCTAGATTTCATTCATTATTCAGTCTTCTTAATATTAAAGTATATTTGATTGACTACTTCTTCTAGTGATTGCTATCTTTCTTGCAATTGGTGTATGTGAGTGAATGCGTAGTTTATAATTGTTCGCTTGGGTAATTCATTTGCCAAAGATCTATTTAATTATATTTTATAAATATATGTGGTGACTTTCAAGCCAACTGATTCGTAGCTACAATATGTTTATGTACAAAAACAAGTTCTAATTTTTCTTATAATTATTGCAAATAACCAATATCATTGATGACTAAGCCTTGATAAAATCAATAATAATATATATATATATATATATATATATATATATATATAATATATATATATATATATATATATATATATATATATATATATATATATATTATGTATATCAAATTATTCTCGACCGTACTGTGTTAAATATTATTTGTAGTCTCAGCAATTGGTCTGTATGAAATAAACTCTATTTGTTATTTCTCAATATTTCGTCACGATTTTGTGACTTCTTCAGGAGAAAACTGTAAATTTATTATAATTGTTATATGTAAACAAAATGAATATTTCAATACTTACAACTTAAGATTAAAAATTTAAATTTTGAGAGCATATCCAATTTAAATAAATGACATTTTTTTTATTTTAATTTATTTGGGAGTTTATGGTAACCGCAATATTTTATAGAGTGAATTGTACAATTTTGTAAAAATTGTACAATTTTTAGCGAATAAGTTTTAGTAAACAATTACATATTGTGACAGTATTATCCATATAATAAGGTGCAAAAGTAGAAGATTGAGAAAGAATCAGGAACATGGTAAATTGATCTATAAAATGTAATTGATGGTACGTAGTCAGTTATTGGTCTGATGTTATTAGATACTGATATTAAGATTTATCATATCATATATTGTTTAGTATATTACAGTAGATATTACTTAAATGGTTGGTGTCTGTTTTATAATTGATAGATTCTGGAGTTTTATTAATGTGTACCATTTCAAGGAAAAGTCGATTTTTATAATTATCAACTTGTTCCAAGATTTTTACATTATTAAAGTCAAAGTTATGTCCTGTCTTTAAGTGGTGGTCCACTAAGGCACAAGAGTTTTTTCGTAAGTTACAGTCACTTTTGTGTTGAGTGACACGTTGTTTAAGCCACTGTTGACTTTGTCCAATATAACAACTTTGATAATTGGAACAAGTTGATAATTATAAAAATCGACTTTTCCTTGAAATGGTACACATTAATAAAACTCCAGAATCTATCAATTATAAAACAGACACCAACCATTTAAGTAATATCTACTGTAATATACTAAACAATATTATGATATGATAGATCTAATATCAGTATCTAATAACATCAGACCAATAACTGACTACGTACCATCAATTACATTTTATAGATCAATTTACCATGTTCCTGATTCTTTCTCAATCTTCTACTTTTGCACCTTATTATATGGATAATACTGTCACAATATGTAATTGTTTACTAAAACTTATTCGCTAAAAATTGTACAATGGGAATTCACTCTATAAAATATTGCGGTTACCATAACTCCCAAATAAATTAAAATCAAAAAAATATCATTTATTTAAATTGGATATGCTCTCAAAATTTAAATTTTTAATCTTAAGTTGTAAGTATTGAAATATTCATTTTGTTTACCATATAATAATTATAATAAATTTACAGTTTTCTCCTGAAGAAGTCACAAAATCGTGACGAAATATTGAGAAATAACAAATAGAGTTTTATTTCATACAGACCAATTGCTGAGACTACAAATAATATATATATATATATATATATATATATTTATATATATATATATATATATATATATAGCATAGGGTAAAGTGTGCAAATCGCGGTCACCTAAGAAGAAAATTAATATAAAAAAAGTAAAACTCTGAGAATCAAATTTAAGCCGTCAATCCGTAATTTGGGGTTTTAACTTATTGCAAGATACATTTAATTTCAAAATATAAAATTTTTGTCTTTGACAGAGACAAAACATAAAAAAGTATCTTTGACCGGTATTGTCACCATACATGGACAATACCGGTCATGAGTGTGGGTAATGCCAGTCAATTTGTTTGTGTTATTATTAAAATAAAAATCAATATCTATTTAACATTTTTTTGTTATAAAACGATTAACGAATGTGGCTTAATGGGTCATAATTCAAGTAAATCAGTAAGAAAGGTGAAAAAATATTTTTTATTACAAAACAAACAAAAAATAACAAAAATATGTGTTTTAATGTAAAAATAGTTGACAGTCATCGCAGGTATAACTCTCTGCAGAATCCCATCCACTGCACTCTGAATAAGCCCATCGTGAGCAAACGGTAAATATATACCACAATTCATTGTTTTTGCCAAACTCGCTGTAAACCAGGCATCTATCTTCGTATGCATCGTCACTGTTATCACATGATATATCAATATCCGATTCCAAAGAAACTAGAATCAAACACCTTTTTCTTGTAATGCCAATTACAAGAAAAAGGTGTTTTATTACAAGAAAAATTATCTTGTAAACCCAAATGCTAATTTTCTCAGTTCTATTGCTGTTACGCCATAAAAAATTAAGCTAAATATTTTTTTTGTGTGGCTATTTTAGCTTCTTGTTCGGCAGAAAATACTGATTTTCTACCTAATGAGACACCTTGAAGATTTTTATTTTTTATTCTTTCTTGCAATGTCGAAAAATGGATGGATTAATCCCTAAGGATTAATAGTATAGGGTATAAATTATAGCATGGGGGTAATACCGGTCAACTGACCGGCATTGCCTCCTGTTGGCATTTTTTTTCTTAGAATTTTTTACTCGTAAACATGTATTAAAATATTGATCTTTAAAAAAGGAATAGGCAGCTAACGTCATATAATCAATTGTAACCAATTTTAAGATCTACAAGTGAATAAAAATGAATTAAGACCTTATATTACTCAGCATAAAAATAAGATCGAAAACACTGAAAACAGGTTAATAATATTTCTATGACAATGGTTTGCGCCAACTCAACGCTCGTCAGCAATCTGAAGCAGTTTACCCTAATAATCGATAATAATTGACTTTATACCAATATATGTGCCAAAAAAAGTAAAATAAAACATGTTGTTTATATAACACATTTTAATAATGAGTACATCCACCTTCAAATTTTACTTCATGGTAATGAAAGTGAAAAGTATACCGCGCACTGATCACTAAAAAATCCAGTTATGGTGCATACAACACTGTTTCATAATCGCTTACCTTTCTTGAACTTCGTAATGGACCATGACGTGGAGTAGAAAGTGATATCCTCAAAATTCAAGTCTACTGCCGTCTTCTTGGGGAATACACTGCTCATATTTTCCTGTTCACTTTTAAAACGGTAATTATTGTTGTAGTTGATGGCTAAGCTCTTGGTATCTGTCATGTCGACATTTTCTGTCAAAGACATTGACGATGGGGCGGTGTAGGTATGTGATGGGTTTATTTTGATTTTGTCATCGTCGATATAACGCGTCTGAAAACAAAAATAAAGTCAGATTTTTCGCATTTATACATTTTATATAGTATTAAATATATTATAAGCTTACGATATTTTTTTTTCGTTGAAATTTAATAACAGTAGGTATTTGTGTCATAGGTCTTTAATCTATACATAATATGAATTCAGCCTCTATGTTTTTGGTTCATTTTAATAATGTATTAAAAAAACGACGTAATAGTTTATAGGTTTTCATATATTTTGCTACCATCAACGATAAAATCAGTGTTGTTCAATTTGGTTCTTTTTATTTAATATGAAATCGTCAGTTTTACAAAGCTGAAATTAATAAATCCATAAGTATAAAATATTTTCACATAAAAATAAACATATTTCCAGACCTTTGAAAAGTGGTTTCAAATTTACAAATTTACTGCAATATTTCACGTGAGACAACTAACGTTGATTTACAAAAATATTTAAAAACAGTATAACAATAAACCATTTTTCTAACAATCAACAAGTCCAGAATATAGCTTTTACAAACAATTTTTTCAAACTGATTTCTATAAACAAAGAAGAAAGTTAATTCATTTGTAGATCTTTATAACATACACCCTTTCGTTTTTACTTTTGCCACATCTTCTACTTAACTGTTATATTATTAATTGTTAAAAACTTTATTAAAAGTTAAATCTAAAAATGCGCATTTATAGTGCTGCTAATTTCTTTTAAGTTCAAGGCTTCTTTCGTTACATTATTGACTATTTCATGGTAAGATCAATTACCGACACTACATTTGTAATGAAGCAAGTGCAAGAGAAATCATTAGAATACAACTAACCGGCATACCTATGTTTCGTGGATCTTACAAAGGCATTTGACCGGGTCAAATTAAAAGACGTTATCCACATACTGTACGCAAGAGAGATACCTCTAGGAATAATCAAAACCATCGAAAATATGTACCAAAACAACACAACAAAAATAAAAGTAGAAGAAGAACTAACCGACCCTATTGTAGCTGTCAATGGGGTAAGACAAGGAGTCCTCTATTATTCAATCTCATTATGGATGAATTAATAAAAAAAGTAAGAACTAAAAAAGGATACCAAATGTAAGAAAAACAACTTAAAATAATCTGCTATGTAGATGACTTATTAAAAATAATGAAAACACGGAAAACCTTATATTTGGGACACATATACAGAAATGAGAAATACCAGCCACTGCAGCTTCTTATAGAGGGGAAGGTAGAAGGAAAACGTGGTCCTGGTAGACGGCAGGCGTCCTGGTTGAAGAACATTCGTGAGTGTACTGGTTTGGATTCTCAATCTTTAATAAGAAAAGCCAGGGACAGAAATGATTTTGCTGAGGTTATCGCCAACCTTCATTGAAGACGGCACCCAAAGAAGAAGAAATGTAGACGACGCCATACTACTCTCTCAAAGTGAAGATGATTTACAACGTATGCTGCACCAATTTAATATAACCGCCAGAAAATTTAACATGTTATTTTCCCCAAAAAACAATTTTACTAGCAAAAATTACTAAGATTTACTAAGCAAAAAATACTTTAAAAGCAAATTTACTAAGATGTAAATTGGAGCTAGAAGGTCAGATAATAGAACAAGTGATGGGAACAAAAAGAAAGCTCGAAAGAGAGCTACGGAAAGCTCGAAACCGAAGTATAAGATCAAGTAAATAGAGCAAACACAGTCGCAGGCTGCCTAAATGAAACAATATGGAGAAATAAAAATATCGGGAAAGAAACAAAAGGCAAAATTTACAAAACAGTCATCAGACCAATAATGACACACACCGATGAAACAAGACCTGATAGAGAGAGGACAAAAAGGTGGTTAGAAACAGCAGAGATGAAAACTCTTTAAAGCATTTATGGTAAGACACTATGGGACAGAGCTAGAAGTACAGATATACGACGTAGATGCAAGGTGGAGAACATCAAGAACTGGGTAAGAAATAGAAGAGTAGAATGGAACGATCACGTAAGCCGAATGACAACAAATAGAGTAGTAAAGACGGCAAGAGAGGGTTCCCAATAGGAAGACGATCAGTAGGAAGACCACGAAAACGATGAAACGACAACTTACTGGAGGCACATTGAAAAACAGACAGAGTCATGTCTATATAAAAAGAAGAAGAGAATATTTTACCATTTATAATTATATGTTCAACTGATAAATGATTTCTTTACTTTGTAGGCCATGATCTGGAATTGTTTCTTCTTGCTGTTTCCTCTGTAATTGCGGTAGACATTTGCAAAGACGATACAGCAACGGTCATTAGGTCCAGTAGCTCACCGATGCTCGAGAAAAACTGTTTGGTGTTTAGTATGGCTTTTTGTAATGTTGAACTGTTCCTACGCCTCCAAAATTATATAAAGGATATTTCTTTAATATTATTTATAAATCCAGAATGTGAATAAATTTTATGACTCATAGCTGTTACAAACGATTTGTTCAAACTGCTTCTATAAACAAAGAAAAAAATTAAGTCATTATTTGTAAATTTTTATAAAATACATCCTTTTGTTTTTATTTTTACCACACCTTCCACTCAACTGTTAAATTATTTGTTAAAAGCTTAGTTAAAACTGAAAATGCGGATTTATAGTGTTGCTAATTTTTTTTAAGTTCAAGGCTTCTGTTGTTAAATTATTGACTATTTCTTTATATTCCAATCCAGGGGTCGGCAACCTTTTAGCTATAGCGGCGTATTGTAATCTATAATTGAAATCAGGGAATGAGAAAGGAATATTATACTAATTTGCCTCTCCTAGGGATGACATGTGGATATTGGATATCGTAAATAAATATTTCATTTATTTACGATACGACGGTTTATTATTACAGATTTTGTTTGTCTATTATTTGTTTACGAACGTTGATCCCTCCTTTATTTGTATGTCTGAATATTAATTTTTTTGGATGTCCTAGTTGCTTAGAACAATTTAATTATTATTTCGCGCGTTCATTGCCTTCATAAGATTTGATACATTTAATTAAAAGAATATTTAAATAAAGTGTATATCTAGATTTAACTGCAAAGGAGTAAAGTATTAAAATGTTGCCTTTTACTTTTACATTAGCTAATATTTTATTAAATATTAAAAAAATAAAACATCAAAAATAAATTTATTTTACACTTAAATTGTGGCTTATTCCCAACAGAAATAGTAATTGCATTAAGGTGCCAAAAGAAATTAGCTTCAGAACAGTATCTTATATTTTTTTACAATATACTACAGGTCCACAGAAGGATACACTACATAAGGGTCTATTAAAGATTTGTACAAGTTATGAATGTGTTGCCTGCGTGAGTCCATTTCAAATAGGCAAAAAGAAATAAAATAAGACTTACTCACAATCAATTAAATTTTACCACCAAAACTACCGATTTCGCATACTACAATTTGCTATGCATCTTCAGGTCTAATGGTACCTGGTACCTGGTTAGATTAGACCTTAATTATAGTCTATTTTTATGTATGAGAGAGTAATAGAACAATAAATTATGTATGCAAATCCCTAAACTGTTGATACGGGTAACTCAATGAAAAACAGATATTTGTCAACAAGTTTACAGAAGTATATAGGAAAACAATTTTAAATTGAGTATGACCACCAGGTATAAAGGTTGGAGCAGAATAGAATACAATAGTTGTGAGGGTTACTAATCCCTAAATAAGGTTGCCAGTGTCGGAGTGATGGAGGTTAACAGGTACTAATGAATTTGCAAGAAATGTAAGATGTTTATTTTATTGGTTATATATAACCAATAAAAGTTTAATAAGTACCTACCTATTTGCAAAATAAAGTTTAATTCTTTAGATAAAATAAAACGTTTTATTTTATCTGAAATGAGTGCATTCCACGAAGTAAGGGTTTCAACAATCAAACATTTAATTCTTTAATTCCAGAATCTACACAGAATTACAGATAATCTCTAACTATTCACAGAAAATGTAGGGTTTTCCATTTGTAGAAGTCCAATGGATTCAAATTCTAACAGTACTAAAGTAGTACTTCAGCAAGCTTTATGTATAAATGTTGGAAGTGCGTTAAACCGAAAATGGTCCTTAACAGTTAATAAAAACATAATATTAATTGTTTTAAATCATTTACAGACAAACGTTTATGTGAAAGTGTTGATGAGACCGTTGAGTTAGTTAGCAGTACACTTGGTGTTGGGAAATCTACGATTTACAGAGTTATTAAAGAAGAGAAATGTGGTAGTTTTCAAATGCCACGTAATGCTCCAGGGAAACCAAAATTTCAAATAGAATATCATTTTAAAGAAGGACTTCGACGGAAAGTGCATGAATTCTTCTTTAGACAAGAATTTCCAACATTGGATAAAGTTCTTGTCTCAGTTCGAGATGATAAGGATTACCCAGAAATGAGTCGAAGTACGTTATGGAAACTTTTAAAAGAAATAGGCTTCCGCTGGAAAAAGAATCCCAGAAAGTCTATTTTATTAGAAAGAAGCGATATTGTCATATGGAGAAGACATTTTCTAAGAACCATAAAGGAAATGAGAAACCAAAAAAGAAAAATATTTTATCTTGATGAAACATGGATCAACGAGGGTCATACACCAAATAAATTTTGGCAGGATGAAACTGTTACAAGTCAAAGGCACGCTTTTGTAAATAACTTATCTACTGGTTTAAACCCACCATCAGGAAAGGGACGCAGGCTGATAATAGTACACATTGGCAGTTCAGACGGTTTTGTTGAAGGTGGTTTATTAACTTTTGAATCAACTCGTACCGGTGACTACCATGAAGACATGAACGCTGATGTCTTTCAAGAATGGTTCGAACAAATGATAGATCTTCTTCCTAAGAACTGTGTAATAGTAATGGATAATGCAAGTTATCACTCCAGACTTATAGAAGGACTGCCCACAACCAAGTGGTTAAAAAAAGACTTGCAGAATTGGCTGAGTTCAAAAAATATTACGTACCATCCCGGATCTATAAGAAAGGAACTTTATTCGTTGTGTGCCCT